AATCGATTAACGTGCTCCATTCTAGTATAAATTCCAGTACTACACTATGTTTGTTTTGATTCGCTATGAAATTTTGACAGGTAAAATGAGGGTTTCGTGGATTTTCCTATGCTTCGAGGGGTGCATCGATTAGCTTGGGACCGAAGATAGTACCAGAGCTGAGCCAAAAAGTTGAGCTCGTTTCTTCGGGACCTTCTGGTCTTAGAGTTACCTCTATGGTATTACTCCATCACTATTCGGTTTTGATACAGTTGTCATTCTTGCCTTCATCCCAAGGAATCGATTCTCATTAAAAGGTCCCGCTATTTATACCCTTCGGAGTGTTGAAAAACCCTCCAAAGGCGCGCCCCGTTGTCAGTCAAAATTGGATGTCTTAGCAACAAAAATAAGCAATGACACCGATAATGACCATGCATCAGAACCCTTGTCTTAACCACTTCAAACTATGGAACAACGAATAGAAGATTAGGAGTCACATAAAGGGTGATACGGTCAAAATTTGGTCAATATCAACTTGACGTATTTCTTTCAATTTTGCATTTAAAAAACCTGAACACCCCTCATTTTGAAGGTGTGTGTGTGTAGAATGTTGCTCCTATTTTGATTTTGGAATTCACTCTTCAGTTGTCAAAATGCCGTCCAAGCAAGAAGAGCAGCGTATCAAAATTTTGCTCGCGCATCGCGAAAATCCGAGCTACTCGCACTCAAAGTTGGCAAAATCGCTAAAAGTTGCCAAATCAACCGTTACAAATGTAATTAAAGTGTTTGGGGAACGTTTGTCGACAGCCAGGAAGTCTGGATCGGGGGGAAATCGAAAACCGGAAGCCGCTGAGACGACAAAGAGAGTTGCCGGTAGTTTCAAGCGAAACCCTAACCTCTCTCTCCGAGATGCCGCAAATAAGCTGGGTGTATCGTCTACAACCGTGCATCGAGCCAAAAAACGAGCCGGACTATCGACTTACAAGAAGGTAGTGACTCCAAATCGCGATGATAAACAAAATACGACGGCCAAAGCGCGATCCCGGAGGCTGTACACGACGATGCTGACGAAGTTTGACTGCGTGGTAATGGACGACGAAACCTACGTCAAAGCCGACTACAAGCAGCTTCCGGGACAGGAGTTTTATACGGCAAAAGGAAGGAGAAAGGTAGCAGATGTTTTCAAGCACATGAAACTGTCAAAGTTCGCAAAGAAATATCTGGTTTGGCAAGCCATCTGTACCTGTGGCTTGAAAAGCAGCATTTTCATAGCTTCCGGGACTGTCAACCAAGAAATTTACGTGAAAGAGTGTTTGAATAAACGTCTGCTGCCTTTCCTGAAGAAACACGGTTGTTCCGTACTGTTTTGGCCGGATTTGGCATCTTGCCATTACGGTAAAAAGGCCATGGAGTGGTACGCCGCCAACAACGTGCAGGTGGTTCCCAAGGACAAGAACCCTCCCAACACGCCAGAGCTCCGCCCAATTGAGAAATACTGGGCTATTGTCAAGCGGAACCTAAAGAAGACCAAAAAAACTGCTAAGGGCGAGCAGCAGTTCAAGGCAAACTGGCTTTCTGCGGCGAAGAAGGTGGACAAGGTGGCTGTACAAAATCTGATGGCAGGGGTCAAGCGTAAGGCCCGGCAATTCGGATTTGGAAAAGCGGAAGCCTAACTGAATATTTTTCCTGAATTTTATACTAATTGAACTTGAAAAAGAAATTTAATTTGATTTTTTAAATAAACGATTTCACCGATTTACACGCGTTTTCCCTTGACCAAATTTTGACCGTATCACCCTTTAGATGAAGACTAACTCAATTTTTCCTTGTTTCAAGATCATCCTCGGTGAAAAAAAAACTAATCTTATCACTATCAACAAGGCATAAAAAGTAACAAGGACTATAAGATGTGTTCCTTGGATTACTGTAAAATCCTTTTCCCCTTGTTTGAAGTAGTCAGGACTAGGATTCGGTGGTAGATCTTACATCCCGTAACGTACCACGAAAAGGTGATCTACCCACGTTACGGGGCAAGCACCTAGGTTAAAATGAGATGTAATTTATTTTAAATTTTAAACAAATAAAGAGCAAAAAAATCGGAGTTGTCACTACAGGTTGCATGGAAAGCAATTTATGCGTATTGCCGCGGTCTTCTAAATTCGTAGACTATTTTGAATAATATGTTTAGGTAATGGGCAGCAACAACGGTCAACGGATAAATGATTTACAGGTTTTATTTCTTAAATACTTGACATAACGATTGCCAGCAACGCCGGCTGGGCGTATCCTATGGCTTACCCTCCCTACTAACAAAATTCCACCCTTCCCGTGACACTTATGAGGGGTCGTAGAGTTCTCTGCATCTCTCTTAAGTAAGTGTCGGACTAACATTCCTCCCCCATCCCCACCAAATGCAAGGACGTGGCCAGGACAGCTCTGGTCTGTTGGAGGGAAACACATCCTTTATCTAAGAGGTAGTAATTAATCACAAATTACTATCTAACAGCAACGGATGAGGATGCGCCTCCTTCTTAACAACAGTTTAGAGCTCGTACCACCTACGACATTGTGCAACCTGGTTTATGCTATGCTATGCTATGCTATTGCCGCGGTCTTCTAAATTCGTGAAGTTTTTTGGTTGTAAAAAGCAACAGCTCTTAACGAAATCTATTTCGGTATTCCAGAATGGTAAAATGGTAAACCAATCATAACTCATATTTAGTTGTTTTTAAACAACTTCTGTAAAAAATCTCGCTATTTTAAACGCAATTCGCGCATTCGACCATGACAGTACCCCCAAAGAATGATGATTTTTTTCGGACTGGTTACGAATTTCGCATTAATCACTGTAATTAAATTTGGTTGGACAGCGATGAAGTGACCACAATTTGGTTTGGGATCACGAGAACGGGCCCGTAAAGATGAAATATTTTTAAATCATGCGGGTGTCACCACTCTGAGGATGACACCCCGGTGGACTACCTCCCCTCTCCCCAGGTAACGCCACTGGTTAGCACAACTCCACCGAATGTTTAAAGTAGTCAAGGAAATCACCAAATTGCAATCGAATGCGATGATTTTGAACGGGAAAATCCGTCCAATTAGTATACATAATTCAGGGGAACTACAAAGCAAAATCAACCCTGCAATAACCGAACATAAAATTGATCTTCTCTGAAGAAGCGATTCGTTTCAACTGTTCGTGAGTAGAATACTGAGCGACAGTTATGATGACACGCGTTGGAGCACATTAAACCGGGTAGGGGGATTTACAATTGATTGCGAATGCCATTCATAATAATGAGAGGAGTGAATTTCTAGACATAGTAACGAACGCACATTTTGTGGACCAGGTAAGTTCACGCCAAATTAAACGGGTTGATGTGATTGTGTCGGTAATTTAGTTCAAAATCTGCTTATCTGTAAGGGAGCAAGCTTCCATTTCAATTTTCTTATCAAATTATGACAGATGGACCTATTTGTATTGCTGCTGTTGGGACTTATAAACCGCATCTTTGTTTCCTGAAGCTGATATGGCCGTTATTATCGTTGTATGGTGGATGAATTTCACCATATTTGATGTTTTCACATGCTGGATGAGATAGCGCTTTTTAATCAATGTGCAAATATACTCACTACGTTAATTATTGCCAATAAAGCTTCTTATGTCTTTATTATGTGTATCATCGAATTACATTGGTCAAATCTTCTCAACAGTTCCATGGCAGTTAGCTTGATTTAGGGTAAATTATTCATCGGCCTTAGATAGCCTAGTCAGGAACGGTATTACCATAGAGATAACTCTAAGATCAAAAGGTCCCGAAGAAACGAGCTCAAATTTTAGGCTCAGCTCTGGTACTATCTTCGGTCCCAAGCTAATCGATGCACCCCTCGAAACATAAGAAAATCCACGAAACCCTCTTTTATCTGTCGAATTTTCATAGCGAATCAAAACAAACATAGTGTAATACAAGAATTTCAACTAGAATGGGGTACGTTAATCGTTTGTTTGGGACCAATAGGCTAGTCAAGTAGTGAGCCAATTATAAATCGTTAGTTTCCATCGGTTGGTATTACCAAGCCAGTCATAGACATTTTTCTGGATATTTCTCGATTTCCAATTGTGCTTGCCACACTATATGTAAATTTTCACAAAAAGTTTTCAATGTATAACTGGGGAATTCTTTTTTAAACTTTACTAACGTGATTTTAGCTATAGGCTAGTTCTACTAGAATAAGGAGCAAGAACACCCTAAAATCTGCCTATAGGGAAGGATGATCATTTGATTAACGGCAAAACAGATTATAACTCGGTGATGGGTTCAAGATAGTTGGTTTAAGAAGGAAACTAAAATTATTATAAATATGATTGATGCTACAATTTGACTCTTAATTTGAAAACAATAAATTAACCTTCTCCTCGAAGTTGCAAGCTTATTTTAGATGGTCATAGATTATATTACATTATGACTAGGGTATGCCACTCTCTATGTCTGTTTAGCCGTTGAATAAGAAAAAAGAAATCCCGAAAATCAGGGGAACTCCCTGAATCCCGCCACATTCCAAGAGAAAAGGAAATCCCATTTGCACTATACGAAACGCCATATTAATGCATGGCAAGTTACATTCATCCTCGATTCTGTACATAGCATCACCCACTTCACCCTTCTTCATCGTCTCCAAATTCCGCGCCATGCAAGACGTCCTTGTCGACCGCGTGGTGCATTCTGCATACATCAACCCATACATGTAGCTCGTGGACTGTAAACAATTCTCTCCTAGCCATCCAGTTCTACCGTTTCTACTAGAGCACATGTGCTGCACTGGCTCCGAGAGAGAATCATATTCAGGAAAGTCACCCATTGACTGTGGGAGAGCGCCGCCAACGCCGAGAACATCTCCCAATCACATCAGTAGGTACCTGAATAGTAGCAGTCTGTATCGGTATATACTAACCTTACACTTGAAATTGCATAAAAGTGTTTGAGTTGCTCCGGCCGAGATTCAGTCTAATGCGGCATTTCGCGAGGTCAACAGCTGATTTTGTACCTTTGTTTTTCCACTTCGAGGGGGGGCTCGTGAGTGTTTTTCCTTTTCCTTTATTTTCGGTTTTCCCGTGTGTCCCACCGTTCTTTTTTTTTCCGATTGTGATAAACTTTTCCTAAACGAAACCTATTTTTAAGTTTTGAACCTAAACGAATCGAGTAAAACATGTTGTGCAAGTTCCCATGTGCTGCGAACTGTATTTGAAAACAAACTAAGAAGATTTGTTTGAAATTTCGCCGTCCATTGACCGTACTGTAGAACTATTTCAAGGTGCCTCGTTAGTTTTTCGGTGGTAAGAACAAAGGAGTAAAACCGCTGAAAGTGTTACGGATATTTGTGTGTTTTTATTTGGAAACTCGCGTTAATCGCGTGGCAGATGTGATACGAAATATTTACAAACAAACTAGTGTGCAGTTAGCTTGTGTTGTTACAGTGGAACGAATCACTTGGACGAATTAATGGATAGTCACTCAAGTCGGTCCAAGCAATAATTACGGTGAGTGTTAATGGCAGCATGAAGCATAGTATTATTTACTTTTAGAATTTGGAAAAAAGTGCAACGTGTACCTAGTAGAATTGATTGGTAGCATTGGTGCTATTTATAGCAATTTTGTCATCGCTCTTTTTGGCACATAGCCATTCGATTGACTGTTCCATAGCAAGCAGTTAACGCATCTTACGATGGAAAATGTAAAATTAGAATCATCAAACCCAAATTCAAAATGGGAAAAATTATATACGATTCACCTGGTTAGCAGATACATACCGCACGTCTCCATGAGAAACACCTTACAATTATAACTGCCTCAAACATTCTACCACAGACAAACAGACATAACACATTGTATGTTTCTCTTTTTAAAACATCGTCGCTAAAATATTATCGCTATCTGTTGAGTACACTGGTGTGGGCAGTACGCTGAAGATGGCGGTAGTGTGTGAATGTCAAACGCAAGGGAATTGACCATGCGCGCCACAGGTGGCGGTACTACCAACTAAGATTCTTTAAAATATACCGTTAAATGCTTGTTCGATGAATAGCTTGAGAGTGTTATGTCTAATTGTCTGTGATACTACATTCAATTTAATTTGGTTTAATTGGGTTCTTTAATTCTGAAAAATGTATCGTTTTTTATACATCATCTGAAAGAGCTTCGTTTTCGGAGCACAGCGATATTTTTTTCGAACCCACACACTTTCATCTCGATTTTTAAATCAAGATTTAAAGCAAAATCATAACTTCACTGTTTGACACTAAACTAACAAACTGACAGCTCGCTCCCATACAAAGTGACACCGAGGGGCGCTAATAAGGTGATTTTTGCAAATGTAATCGTACTTATTTAAAATAGTTCCAGTGTACCAAAATTGATGAAATTTTGGGTTTGGGTTCCATTTTTAATGCAGAATACGAATATGCATTTACCTCAATACCCTTAAAGAACCCAATTATAAGCTTAATTATAACTGATTATCCAAAGTGGACAACACACGAGCAACCATATGCCAATACTCGATAATAGAAAAAAAAAATTATTTCGTGTTTTAAGTTTCAATATTTCACCTCACTCCACTACTCTTCGAAAACAACGTAATTTAACTCGGTTAAGCCCATCAATGGGATAGAACAACTCGGTATTAACAGTCCGAGTACCAAACCTGCAAACTGCTTGGCAATGCTGTGTCACAGCACCACTGTCCCGTTATCGAGAAACGAGCTTGCTCACAGAATCGATACACAGTTTTGGTACTGTGAGCATTATGAGCCCTACGATCGAAGTGTGCTCTGCTTCAAAACGGACGTGAAAAAATTCTGCTTTCAAATTGCTCGTATATTATGTTTTCGTCGCGGTTTTCCAAGTTTTATCTGAAGATGATTTGCCAGTTTTGAAAATCGATAAGTTTTTTTGAAGAATAGTTTTTCTTTTTATGGCCGAAAGAAGGTTTTTCCAAGTGCATTTATGACCGGTATTCCGATTACAAGTACAGTCAGATTCGAAAAACAAATTATAATCCAATTTTGTGCAAGATTAGCTTGTGAGACCACCGAAGTTACGCTTTATTCAACCAGTTTTACCACTAGGGTTTTTGATCTAATTTCCGTCCTACTAAGCACACCCCGCGCTTTACCTCTCTTTTTTAAACGGGTTTGAACAAAAAATTGAATATTTCCTAGGGGCATCCCACTCTAAACTATAGCTCTAGTATCAATTAAGTATTTCCAAGTATCTGAGAAGTATTCTTAAGTATTTTTAAGTATTTTAAGATTTGGATTTTTTAATCGTAGTGACCGGTTACTAATGTAGTTGTTTGTTGTTGTATATTCCGTCAATGATTACTTTTAATCACGTATTAAAGCATAATAATACTAGTTTCAATATGTTTTAAATTAAATGAAGTAGTGTGATCATGTTTATAAGGAAGTATTGTCGCGCTCTTGTTAAATTATCATTTGATGACGGTCGAAGTGCGCCGCTCATAAGCGCGATGCAACCCCGCCCATAAGGATTCTACACAGGTGTGTAACTTAGATAGTATTTCATGGCAGCGGCTTGAGGATCGAATCCTGGATAAAGAGCCGCCGCATGTTAAATCAATGGGCGCAGTCGTACGGCTATAAACAGAGAACAGGTATAATCCCATTTTGAGAAATTATCCTGCCACACACAATATTTTAATTCTAGTTATGAAATTGTTCATCAAAAACATTTTACTTTCAGCGAACCAGTTAGAGCAGGGATGGCGAATTATTTATGATTTCGAACTGGCTGTTTAGTACGATATCAAACTTTTGAATTATATTGCTTAGCTGGAGGTTAATGGTGCCGTTGTCGTTCGAACTCGTACACTCCCGATCATAAGTTTAAGGACACCCCCAAAAAAGTATGAAAAATTTGTTATGTTCATATCTCTGTCATGTTACGTCCAATTTTCGTTCTCTTTAGATCATTTGAAAGGTATTGAATGGAACATTCCTCGTAGGCAAATTGTTCAATATAATTTTCAAATTTTGTGTGCTAAAAGTTCACCCAAAGTTACAATATTTTTCAAAATTTACTCTGAAGAATCGTGACTGATTTTCTCAGAATTGGGTTGGCCAAATTTTGGAATAAAAGGAATAGTAGAACACTTATGCTATACCATTGATACCATTCAAATAACCTTTGGAGATCGAATATTGAACGTTAAATGAGAGCTCATTGAACAAAACATATTTTCATGGTTTTTTTGGGGGTGTCCTTAATCTTATGATCGGTAGTGTAACTAGATTTCAAACTGAACTGCCAAAATAAAAGCGTATGTTGAATGTCAATTCGGCTAAGAACTATCAGCAAGCTGCATGATTATGAAATTTTTGATTTCAAGCTGGCCAAGGATGCTAGGACTACAGTGGTTATTTGCCAGAGGCCAATGAAGCATAACTACCAGCAATTCGTTGTGCTGGTGGGCTCGAAGTTGAACTAATTACAATTGCCACTGGTGGTCGTATCGTACCGCGTTTTGATAAATTTACATCGGTAAAGATGAGTTATGACGGACTGGTGAGGGAGTTGAGTGAGTATCCTGATAGCAACCGAAGGCTTTATGTGAAATCAACATGAATTTCTCACTTTTACCAGTAAGTAAGGACAAGAAAAATATTAATCTGTTCTGAAATTATAATTTAAAACAAACCATTGATATACCAAATAAAACGATTTAGTTCCAACACGTTACTTATTTGTACTAATTTCATGTAAAATAATCCTAAGTTAAAATGTATGAATTTATTTCAAACCATTCCCCAAACAGTCCAAATTAAAGTTTTAACACATAGCCGTTTCTGATGAATGATAGAATCAATTAGAGAACGGATCTGAGATTAACACGGAGCGAATATGTTGGTTTGACCATGTCCAGCGTTATTACGGCTTACATCTTATTTTGGGCCTAGTAAGCACAACCCGCCCTTTACCTCTATTTTTAGAACGAAGTTTTTCACAAAATTGAATATTCTAACTGCAGATGCTTTCCAAATTTATTGAACTTTCCGTACGTATCGTAAGATTTGATAAAAAGAAACAAATTGTGGATATATTGTTAAAAATCTAACACTGCTTCTTGACGCCAAACTCAGCCTTCGGATTCTAAACTCATATCACACTTTCTTATTGACTTCGTTCGGTAGATTTGGAACAGAAGTATCGTACCAAACGCATAATTGACTTGTTAACGCCGTAATCATGGTTTGATTTGATGTTTTCTGCTAAATAGGCCCAAAATGGGTGATTAGGCCGAAGTAGCTCTCTACCCTAATAAGCCTTAAGCAGGAGAGCATCGAAGGTTCCAAATCCGAGGAAATGTGATTCCCTTCTTATTCGGCGGCAATCTATAGGAGATGTGGCTTTGCGGATGGTGCAGAAAGCTTTCGCAACTTCTTATTCAGCTTCAATCAGCGTAAAGGCCTGAAGTTATCGTCCAACGGTCAAGAACCTAATGAACGAAAAATCCATCTTTATGGAGACATGGTTTTGGGATAGAAACATTTGCTTAGGGAATTTGCTTCCACACGCAGTTTCTTCCACAGTAACTTTTCAAATAGTTCGTTATTCTTGCTTTGAATCACATGTGAATCGGTTTGGCAATGTAATATTCCTTGAATCAAAATGGTCGCCTCCTCGATTCCTACAGAAAAGCAATAAATTAAAAAATAATACTTGATTTTTCCAAATACGCACACAAAAATTCTCGGAAGACACCGGGTAAATAATCGAATGAAATCTGTCTAGCAACGGAGGTAACAAACTAGCGCTAAATATTTCTTAAGTATTTTTAAGTATTTGCAGGTATCTTAGATATCAGTAAGAACTTTCTGAGTATAATGCGAGAAATACAAAGTTTAGAGTGGGATGCCCCTAGAATATTTCTGTCAAAGATGACTTCTAAATTTATTGACCTTTCCATACGTACCATAGGATTTGATAAAGGATCACAAATTATTGAGATATTGTTTAAAATCTAATACTGCTTCTTGATTCTAAATCCGTCCTACAAGTTTTAATTCCGTCCTAACGCATTGAAACGCCATTAGATTTTCTTCGTCCTACGGATAAACGTAGAAAAACGAGATTCGCAAGGAGCGCTTCTTTTGTTTTGAGAATAATGAGCGTAAATATTCATACAATGCGCTCTAACAGGATTTATGTTGTAGCTAATGAACTAACACATCGGAACAAACCTATTATTGATTTGTGTACGGTGAAATCATTGATATTATTGATCTTTTCTGATCGATAGAACGGAAATAGGCGATCACGACGAAGTAGCGCTCTACCCTATTTGATCCGGAAAACAACCAGCAAAATGGAGTGGCTGTTCGGTAAGAAAATGTCTTCGGACGAGATGATGCGCAAGAACCAGCGGGCTCTGAATTAAGCGATGCGGGATTTGGATCGGGAGAAGATGAAAATGGAACAGCAGGAAAAGAAGATCATCGCCGACATCAAAAAGCTGGCC